AGTTTTTCATCACTTCCAGAACACAAACTGGTGCTTCTTCTGGCAAGCAGAAAGAGCCAGCCATTCTGTGTTTAGAGATTTCAGAAATAATAATGTCCTAGCCACTTGCTGACAGTATTTCTCAGAGGGCTGATTTACATGTGCACTTTAATACAGGGTAGCTTATTTTACTGTACATTAAAATGTTACAAAAAGCAGTGCAATTACACTAATGTGCAGTAAAATAGGCTACTGCACATTAAGCATCACTTAAAAACTGTGCACATTTGTTACTATATATTAAGGCAGCCTAATGCACATTTCTTTAGTATCTCACATTGGAGGTACTAAATTTAATGTGCATTAGAAAAAGTGCCTTAAAGCATGTATAGATGCACCCAGTATAACTTCATGAATGAGTCAGACCAAGAGCAAGAAACCTTATAAAAGACAGCAACTGTTACTGGCCAATGCTCAATCAGTTGTATTCCAGATCATTGTATCTCCCAAGCTTTCCTGGGTGGGGAGGGTGGGAAGGGCTTTTAGGAGACACCATGCATTGAAAACACAAGTCCATTTATGAAGGCATTGCCCACTGAGGTATGAAATAACAAATATTTTCCAGGCCAACCTCTTGTTTTGAAATTCACTTGTTACAAACTGCACAATTCTCTATTTTCACAGTGAATTTGTCTGTGGGCTTCTGTGCTGATGAAAGGTGCTAGATCAGCAGCTATAGCCCTGCAGTCCTTTAAGTCCATTTAAGTCCTTTAAGTCCTTTAAGTCCATTAAGACCCAGACTAGATATAACATGAGCATTGGCACTGGGATCTTCCTTATTGATGGACTGTTCCTTAACCTAGAGCTGGAGGTCTCACTTGTAGCCTGTCGTCTATATAATATTTTTATAATTCACCACCTGTCCCACATCACAAATTGGCAAAAGTGGAGCCTTCAGGGTTGACCAGGTTTGCAGGTTGCTACCATATCATAAAGCCCTTGCTTAGCATAGAAGAAGTAGCATTAGACTTCAGAGGGTGATTCAAACTCCATGTACCTTTCCTGCTTCACATCCTTGTCAGGATTGAAACCAATTGTGATGGTGGGTTTTTCAAGGCAGACATGTGCTGATAGGAACCTAGATGAAGTCCCCTAATTTCACATGTCACCAAGCAACCAGCAGATGAACTCTTAATCTTGGTTTTTCCCTCTACTGCATAGCTTCATACACTCACACATCTTGTAGTCCTTCCCATCTCCCCACTATTGTAATGAGATATATACTACTATGTACAAGCAAAGAGAGAGTCTGAAGAAGACATACTCTTTTCTCAGTACTGGTTTAGCAAGATTAGTATCCAATGGATGTAGGGCATGTCTACAGTAGGAGCACTTTAGAAGCACACTGTGCCAGCAATGTGTAAGCTAGTGTTGATGTACCAGTGCTGGTATAACAAAAAAAGCTGCACTCTATACCTACCAGGCAAAACAAAAGTGATAAGAGTCTAGTTTTTTTATTGGTGTAGCATCATCCACACTAGGGATTTCTGCTGACAGATCCAGGATCACATTTCTTCACACCCCTGACAGAGTGACAGTATCATAGTAGCTAGGGTCAGGAGGGATCATCCAACCTCCTCTTGAATTTACCCAATGTAGGGGTGAGGACCACTTCCCTGGGAAGTTGGTTCCAGATTTTGGCCACACTAACTGTAAAATATTGCCTTCTGATCTCTAACCTAAACCTATTCTCCATCAGCTTATTTACAAACATGCATAATTCTCCCCAGGTGGTGCTGGGGAGAAAAGGGATCTACCTATTTGCTGTTGATCTCCCCTAATGAATTTGTAGGCAGCCACCAGGTCCCCTCTCAGCCTCCTCTTGCTGAGGCTGAACAGGTTCAGGTCCTTCAGTCTCTCCTCGTAGGGCCTGCCCTGCTGCCCTCTCACCAACCGGGTGACCTTCCTCTGAACCCTCTCCAAGCTGGCCACATCCCTCTTGAAGTGCAGCGCCCAGAACTGGATGCAGTACTCCAACTGCGGCCTGACCAAAGTCGCATAGAGGGGGAGTATCACCTCTCTGGACTGGCTTGAGATGCACCTTTGGATGCATGACAAGGTATGGCTGGCCTTGCTGGCTGCGGTCTGGCATTGGCGGCTCATGTTCATCTCGGAGTCAATAATGACTCCAAGATCCCTTTCCGTTTTAGTGCTTTCAAGAGGGGAACTCCCCAGCCTGTATGTGTGCTGTGGATTCCTTCTCCCAAGGTGCAGCGCCCTGCATTTGTCTACGTTGAATTCCATCCTATTCTCATTTGCTCACTTTTGTAGTCTGTCTAAATCTAGTTGCAGCCTCTCTCTCCCTTCAAGTGTGTCCACCTCTCCCCACATCTTAGTGTCATCAGCAAACTTGGACAGCGTGCTTTCCACCCCCTCGTCCAAGTCGCTGATGAAGATGTTAAACAGTG